CTTACAATGGTTTAAACAATAGGTTAATAGATATCTAATTTGGTTCTCCTAATTAATCTCAGATTTGAATTCCCTTCTAGAATTATTGTTTGAAAAGAATAAAAGCTTTCAAATATTACAAGCCCCATTTTGCTCTTAAAACTATCTTTCATTTATTTCCATTTCTTTTTTTCTATATTTCTTTATATATATTTTCTTTTTTCTCCATTTTATTATCCATATATCTAAATTTTTAAATTTTCTGTTACTTTTTTTTCTATTTTTTTTTTTTTTCTTTTTTAAGAAATGTTTCTTTATTGAGTTCCCCTTGTTACTATGTTTTGTTGAAGAAATTCTTCTGATTTTCTTTCTTCCTTTCACAACAACAACTAATTTTTTCATGTTTCTCCCAGCCTTCCTAATTAATTCTGGTATATATTCCTTTAAATTATTTTTTCACCTCTTCTATTCAAGCTCATTTATCTTGTTTCACGCGCTTAGCTTACATCACTCTTCTTACATTCCCTTCCCCAGTATCTCTCCTCCTTTTCTTGCTTTCTGTTCTTTTTCTTCTTGCTCAGAATTGGCAAGGACCAACAACAACAACCCCCAAGATTGTTGAATGTGACGAGTCTTAGATAATGGATGATTTTAAATTCCCCCACCGAATGTCAGATAGGTAAGAGACAACAACAACACCGATTTTGGCTCTAAATGATATGTTCAACTTTCCTTACCTTTTTTTTTCCTGAAGAGATTTTCTTAATCTTTTTCCTATATTCTCAACTGTAACATTTTTTCTTAACGACGAGTTCTGATATTCTAAAACAAAGAAAGATGGGCAATAGCATTTGTTTCCAATTTTGCTCTTCAGATGACAACGGAGAAACGGCATTAATCCGACATCCACCTAGACATGCCCATTTTACCCACACTAATTGTCAGATGGAGTAAACTAATGCCTGATGGCTTATTGACGACATGTTATGTTGGTTTGTACAAATAGCGCACCAATTAAAAAACGAAAACAACACCGAGAAATGGCTTGTGTCGGCAAAACGACAAATAGTTTAGAACTTTTAAAACTGTAAAATGGAAAAAATTCATTCATTAAACCACTTAGGCATCAAATTTTGAAAACCAGCGGGATGAACCAATATATCAAAAAGTACCATTTCAAATTCCCCCATGGACTGCCGACAACTTCCGGAATATTAACCACAACAATTTTGGTGTTGATACTAACAACTCCAGTGACGGCACCGATGAATGATTCCACCGAAAGGCCCCTTTGAGAAAAAGACCTCAATGTTTTTGATATTTTGTCTCCAAAAAAAAAAACAGACAACAAGAATATTTTTACGGCAATTGGCCAAACAGTACTTCCTGAAATTTAATCCCCGCGATGTGTTTTTCTACGGCTTCAAGTTTTATGCTAAAACTGAGTCCAATTTTAAATGAACAAAAAATGATTTTTCCGATGACACCATTCCCCCTTTTTTTTTTTGTCCAAATTCTACTATTTTTGCTCCACAACAACAAAAACAATATGTGTCCAATATCAACGACAATATTTGTCCCTTATGGCTCCAATTTTTCACTATTCTATTCTATGTTCTGCTAATAAGTGAGCGAAACATAAAATTTGCATTTATTTATTCAGAAAAACTTTTTTCTCTCTCTCCCCTTTCCCCCAGATGACATTCTGTTTTGGACAGCAACATAGATATTCTTGTTCTTCCTTTTATTTTTTAACCTGAAAACAACATTTTCAGCCAGTGCACATTATGGCTCTTTAAAAAATAAATTTATCCCTTCCCCAAACTTTATTCTAAGGAGTTATATTTTTTTCTTGTTTTGCAACATGATTGAACAGATGTCAACAACAAGTGACTGTCACAACATTTAAGAATAATTCCTTTTTGTGTTTTCCCCCCCTGATATTACTCCACCAGTTCTATTCTATGTTTCAAAAAAAAAACAACAACAATGCTTCTTTTTGAAAATGACGGAACAATAAATTCTTTTCTTCAAAATCCCCAAATATTAGCCAAGATTCTTTGATTCCTTTTCTAATACACCTTGGATTTTTTCTTATTTTTTGTATGTTCTTTAGGATATATATATGCATGCGAAAAATTACATGGATTTTCTCCAACAAATATAACTGCAGAAATTCTTTTCTTTTGTATGGCTCTCAAGAAAATAACATAAATTTTTGTGAACTAACGCGATATGGCTCCATTTTTCGAAAACTTTCTTTGGAAGATTCTTTCCATCTTTTTGTTCCTTCAACGAAATTTGGATCCCCCTCTCCCTCATCTCTTCTGGATTTCATTCCTAAACACAGATCTTTAAATAAGGAGACGACAGACAAAATATGGATTTATCTCTAAGATTAACCTCCAAAGACCAATCTATTTCATCATCAACATTTTATATAATTTACCTTCCCTGAATGTCTTTGATGGCAGAGGATAATTTTATTCCCGACAATTTTCTACATGACTAATTTTACAGGTATCGAACTACCGAAGGAGACTTATTTAACGGCAATTTCCACTGAAATGTTTCTCTACATTGATGTTTATCTCGTCATTTGTCAAATTCAAAGAGACGACGCCGACATAAATTATGATTTCTATATTTGAACTACCTTTAAAATGCGATATTCAACCAACGAAACCGACAAATAATTTTAAATTTTGAAAGGGCTCTAAAAGATGCATTTCTCTTCTGTTAGCCACCCCATCATGTCTTGCCTGCATTTCATTTTTTCAGTCTTTCTTGAATTTATCTTCTGCTTTTTTCCATTTCTTTTTCTTGCATTTCTTTTTTTTTTTATCTTCCCATAATTTTTCCTTGCATTTCTTTTTTTTCTTTTTTTTTTCTTTTTTCTTCTTGCTTCTTTTATTTTTTTGTCTTTCCTGCATTTCATTTTTTCAGTCTTTTGTTTCTTCTTTTTTATCTTTCTTGCATTTCTTTTTTAGTCTAACTTCATTTCTTTTCTTGCCTTTTCTTTTTTTTTTTAGCCTCCCATAATGTCTTCCCTGCATTTCATTTTTTCAGTCTTTTTGCATTTTTCTCTTCTGTTAGCCACCCCATCATTCTTGCCTGCATTTCATTTTTTTAGTCTAACTTGCATTTATCTTCTGCTTTTTTTTCCATTTCTTTCTTGCATTTCTTTTTTTTCTTCTCCCATAATGTCTTCCCTGCATTTTTTTTTTTTCTTTTTGCATTTCTCTTCTGTTAGCCAATTTTTTTTTTTTATTGCATTTCTTCCTGCATTTCATTTTTTTTTCTCTTCTTGTTTTTATCTTCTGCTTTTTTTTTTTTCTTTCTTTTTCTTTTTTTTTTCTCCCATAATGTCTTCCTTGCATTTCATTTTTTTTCAGTTTTTCTTGCATTTCTTCTTCTGTTAGCCACCCCATCATGTCTTGCCTTCATTTTATTTTTTAGTTTTTCATTTCTTTTCTTTTTTTTTTTTCTTTATTTTCTTTTTTTTTAGCCTCCCATCATGTCTTTCCTTCATTTCATTTTTCAGTCTTTTTTGCATTTCTCTTCTTTTAGCCACTTTTTGTGTTCTGCCTGCATTTCATTTTTTTTAGTCTAACTTTTATTTCTCTTCGTTTTTTTTTCTTTTTTCTTCTTGCATTTCTTTTTTTTTTTTTCTTTTAAAACTTTTCCCTTTTCATTTTTTCCCTGCATTTCTCATTTTTTTGCAGTTTTCTTCTTCTTTTCTTCTTTTATTTTTTCTTGTTTTGCCTGCATTTCATTTTTTTTTAACTTGCAATTTTTTTCTTTTTTTTTATTTTTTTTTGCATTTCTTTCTTTTTTTCTTCTGCTTCTTTTGTTTTTTCTTGCATTTCATTTTTTTAGTCTTTCTTGCTTTCTTCTTTAGCCAAAATGCATTTCTTTCTTGCCTTTTTTCTTTTTTTTCTTTCTTGCATTTTCTTCTGCTTTTTTGCTTTTCTTTCTTGCTCATTTTTTTTTTAGCCTCCAATTTCTTCCCTGCATTTCATTTTTTTTTTTTTCTTGCATTTCTTCTTCTGTTAGCTTTTGCCCATCATTTTTGCTTGCATTTCTTCTTTTTTTCTAACTTGCATTTTTCTTCTTTTCTTTTCCATTTCTTTTTTCTTGCATTTCTTTTTTTTCTTTTAATTTCTTCCCTGCATTTCATTTTTCAGTCTCTTCTTTTATTTTTCTTTGTTTCTTCTTCATTTTCTTTTGCTTCATTTCATTTTTTTATTTCTTCTTGCATTTTTCTTCTTTTTTTTTCCATTTCTTTGCTTTCATTTCTTTTTTTTTTTTTCCATTCTTCCTTTTTGCAATTTTTTCATTTTTTCTTTTTTTTCTTTTTTTTTTTTTCTTTTAGCCAATTCTTTCTTTTCTTTCTTGCTTGCATTTTCTTTTTTTTTTTTTAGTCTTCTTGCATTTCTTCTTTTTTTCTTTTTTTTTTTCTTTTTTTTTTTTCTTTTTTAGCTTCCCATATTTTTTCTTGCATTTCATTTTTTTCAGTCTTTTCTTTTTATTTTTTTCTTTAATTTCTTCTTCATGTCTTTTGCTTCTTTCATTTTTTTGCTTTCTTCTTGCAATTTTTTTTCTTCTTTTTTTTTTCTTTTTCTTGCATTCTTTTCTTTTAGCCTTGCATTTGTCTTCCCTTTTTTCCTATCTTTTCAGTCTTTTTCTTGCATTTCTTCTTGCATTTCTTTTGCTTCATTTGTTTTTTGCATTTTTTTTTTAGTCTTTTGCATTTATTTTTTTCATTTTTCTTTTCTTCTTTTATTTTTTTTTTAGCCTCTTAATGTCTTCCCTGCATTTCTGCTTTTTTTTTTTTCTTTCTTTTCTTTTTCTTCTCTTTTTGCACCTTTTGTCTTTTCCTGCATTTCATTTTTTTTCTTCTAACTTCTTTTTTTTTTCTTTTTTTCTTTCTTTCTTGCATTTTTTTTTTTTTTCTTAATTTCTTCTTGCATTTCTTTTTCAGTCTTTTTTGCATTTTTTTTTGTTAGCCACTTTTTTTCATGTCTTGCCTTTTTTCTTTTTTTTTAGTCTAACTTTTATCTTCTTTCTTTTTTCCATTTTTTTTTCTTGCATTTCTTTTTTTAGCCTCTTTTTGTCTTCCCTTGCATTTTTTTTTTTTTCATTTTTCTTGCTTTTTCTCTTCTGTTATTTTTTTCATGCATTTGTTTGCCTTTCATTTTATTTTTTTTTTTAACTTGCATTTATCTTCTTGCAATTTTTCCATTTTTTTTTTTTTTTCTTTTTTTTTTTTTTTTTTTTTTTCTTGCATTTCTTTTTTTTTTCTTTTTTTTTGCATTTCTTTTCTTCTTTCTTTTCTTTCATTTTTTTTTTTATTTTTTTTTTTTTTCTTCTTGCATTCTTCTTTTTCTTTTTTTCATTTTTTTCTTGCATTTCTTCTTTTTTTCTTCTCCCATCTTCTTTTATTTTTTCTTGCATTTCTTTTTTCAGTCTTTTTTGCTTTTCTTTTCTTGTAGCTTTTTTTTCTTTTTTTTCATTTTTTTTTTTAGTCTTCTTTTATTTTTTTTTGCTTTTCTTCTTTTTTTCATTTCTTTTTTTTCTTTTTTTATTTTTTCTTGTCATTTCTTCTTTCATTTTTTTTTTTCTTTTTTTTATTTTTTTTTTTTTTCTTTTCATGTCTTTTTCATTTATTTTTTTTAGTCTAACTCTTGCATTTATCTTCTGTTTTTTCCATTTTTTCTTGCTTTTCTTTTTTTTCTTTCTTCTTCTTCATTTTGCATTTTTTTTCAGTTTTTCTTTCATTTTTCTTTTTCTTCATTTCTTTTTTTTTTTTTCTTTTTTTTGTCTTCTTGCATTTCTTCTTTTTTTCTTCTTTTCTTTTTTTTTTTCTTGCATTCTTCTCTTTTGCTTCTTTTTTTTTTTTTTTTTCTTCTTTTTTCTTTTGCTTCTTTTTTTTTTCTTGGTTTTTCTTCTTTTTGCATTTCTTTTTCATTTTTTTAGTTTTTCTTGCATTTCTTCTTCTTTTTTCTTTCTTTTTTTTTTTTTTTTTTCTTTTCTTCTTTTTTTCATTTTTTTTTTTTTTGCATTTTTTTTTTTTCTTGCATTTCTTCTTCTTTTTTTTTTTTTTTTTTTTTTTTCTTGCATTTTTCCTTTTCTTTTTTTTTTTTTTTTTCTTTTTTCATTTCTTGCATTTCATTTTTTCTTTTATTTTTCTTGCATTTTTCTCTTCAATTCTTTTCTTCTTTTTTTTCTTGCTTTTTTTTCTTTTTTTTTTTAACTTGCATTTTCTTCTGCTTTTTTCTTGCATTTTTTTTTTTTCTTATTTTTTTTTTTTTTTTTTTTTTCTTTTGTCTTCCCTTGCATTTCATTTTTTTCTTTTTTCTTTCTTTTTTAGCTTCCCATCTTCTTTTCCTTCTTTTTTTTTCTTTTCTTGCATTTTCTTCTTTTTTTCATTTCTTTTTTTTTTTTTTTTTTTTTTTTTCTTTTCTTTTTTTTCTTTTTTTCTTTTTTTTTTTCATTTTTTTTTTCTTCTTCTTTTTTCTTTTTTTTTTTTTCTTGCATTTCTTCTTTAGTCTAACTTCTTCTATCTTCTTTTTTTTTTTTCTTCATTTCTTCTTTTTTCTTTTTTTCTTTTTATTTTTTTTTCATTTCTTTTTTTCTTCTTCTTTTTCTTTTTTTTTTTTTAGCATTTTTCTTGCATTTCATTTTTTTTTTTTTCTTGCATTTCTTCTTTTTTTCTTTTTTTTTTATTTTTTTAGCCTTTTCCATTTTTTTCTTTTTTCTTTTTTTTTTTCTTTCATTTCTTCTTTTTTCTCTTCTTCTTTCCCCATTTTGTCTTTCCTTCATTTCATTTTTTTTAGTCTTTCTTTTTTTTTTTCAATTTTCTTCTTTCTTTCTTTCTTTTTTTTTTTCTTTATTTTTTTCTTGCATTTCTTTTTTTCTTCTTTTTGCTTTTCCTTTTTTTTTTTGCATTTTTCTTCTTTATTTTTTTCTTTCTTTTTTTTTTTTCTTCTTTTTTTTTCCTTTCTTTCTTGCATTTCTTTTTTTTTTTTTTTTTTCTTCTTTTCTTCATTTCATTTTTTAGTCTTTCTTGCATTTTTCTTCTTTTCTTCTTTTTCCATCATCTTTTGCTTCTTTTCATTTTTTTTTATTTTAATTTCTTCATTTCTTCTTTCATTTTCTTTTTTTTTTTTTTTCATTTCTTTTTTCCATTTTTTCTTAGCTTCTTTTTTTTTTTCTTTTCATTTCTTTTTTTCAGTCTTCTTGCTTTTTTTTTCTTTTTTTTGCATTTTCTTCTTGCCCTTCTTTTTTTTTTTTTTTTTTTTTCTTTCTCATTTCTTTTCATTTTTTATTTTTTTTTTTTTCTTTTTTCTTCTTGCATTTCTTCTTTTCTTTTTTTTTTCTTGCATTTCTTCTTTTTTTCTTCTCCTTTTTATTTTTTCTTGCATTTCTTCTTGCATTCTTCTTGTATTTCTTTTATTTTTTTCTTGCATTTTCTTTGCAAATTTTTTAGCCTCTTAATTTCTTTTGCATTTTATTTTTTTTTTTCTTCTTTTTTTGCATTTTATTTTTCTTGCATTTCTTCTTTCTTCTTTCTTCTTTTATTTTTTTTTTTTTTCTTGCCTTTCTTTTTTTTTTTCTTTTTTCTTTTTCTTTTTTTTTTTTTTCTTCTTTTCTTCTTTTATTTTTTCTTGCATTTCTTCTTGCAATTTTCATTTTTCTTTTCTTTTTTTCTTTCTTTTTTCTTTTTTTTTTTTTTTTCTTTTTCTTCTTTTTTTTTTTCTTTCTTCATTTTTTTTGTCTTTCTTTTTCTTTCTTTTGCATTTCTTCATTTTTTTTTTCTTCTTTTTTTTTCTTTTTTTTATTTTTCTTTTCATTTCTTCTTTTATTTTTTCTTCCTTCTTTTTTTTTTTCTTTTCTTTTTTTTCATTTCTTCTCCCTTTTTTTATTTTTTTTTTATTTCTTTCTTGCATTTATCCTTCTGCTTCTTTTATTTTTTTTTTGCATTTCTTCTTGCTTTTCTTTCTTTTCTTTCATTTTTCTTGCATTTCTTTTTTAGTTTTCTTTTTTTTCTTGCATTTTTTTTCTTCTTCTTTCTTTTTTTGCATTTATCTTCTGCTTTTTCTTCTTTTTTGCATTTCTTTTTTTTTTTTTTCTTTTTTTTTTGCATTTTTTCTTTTTCCATTCTTTTCCTTTCTTTTCTTTTTTCCTCCTCATTTCTTCTTTCTTCACTTTTTTTTTTTTTTTTTTTTTTGCATTTTTCTTTCCTGCATTTATCCTGTCTTCTTTTATTTCCTTTTTTTTCTTCATTTCTTTTCTTTTTTTTTCTTTTTCTTTTTTTGCATTTTTTCTTTTTTATCCTTCTTTCTTTTTTTTTTTTTTTTTTCTTCTTGCATTTCTTTTTAGCTTTTTTTTTTCTTTCATTTCTTTTGCATTTTCTTCTTTCTTTTTGCATTTCTTCTTTTCTTCTTCATTTCCCATTTTTTTTTTTTCTTTTTTTTCATTTCTCTTTTTTTAGTTCTTTTTTTTTTTCATTTCTTTCTTCATTCATTTTCATTTTTTCTTCTTTCCCTCATTTTTTTTGCTTTCTTCATTTTTTTTTCTTCTTCTTCCCATCTTTTTTTTTTTTCTTGCATTTCTTTTTTTTTTTCTTGCTTTTCTTTTTTTTTTGCATTTCTTCTTCCATTTTTTTTCTCTTCTTTTTGCATTTCTTTCTTCTTTTCTTCTTGCATTTTTCTTCTTTTTAACTTTTTTTCTCCCTTTTTTTCATTTCCTGCATTTCTTGCATTTCTTTTTCCTCCTCTTTTTTTGCATTTTTCTTTTTTCATTTTCTTTTTTTGCTTTTCTCTTTTCCTGCATTTTTTTTTTTTTCTTCCTTTCTTTTCTTTATCTTCTTCTGCTTTTTTTTTTTCTTTTTCCCTTTTTGCATTTTTCTCTTTTTTGCATTTATCCTCCCTCTTTTTCCTGCATTTCTTTTTTCATTTCTTTTTCTTTTTTAATTTCTTTCTCTCCCTTTGCAAACCCTTCATGTCTTTTCCTGCATTTTTTTTTTTTCCTCTAACTTTTTTTTTTTCTTTTTTTTTTTTTTTTTTTTTCTTGCTTTTTTTTTTTTTTCAGCATTTCTTTTTCCTCTTTTTCATTTTTCAGTTTTTTTTGCATTTCTCTTCTTTTTATTTCTTTTTGCTTCTTTTTTCTTTTCTTGCATTTTTTTTTGTCTTCTTCTTCTTTTTTTTGCATTTCTTCTTGCATTTTTTTTTTTTTCTCCCTTTTGCATTTTCTCTTCTTTCATTTTTTATCTCCCTTTCTTATTTTTTCTTTTTTTTCTTTCTTCATTCTTTTAATTTCTTTCTTTTTTTTTTTTTTCTTTTCTTGCATTTATTCTCCCTTTTTTTTTTTCTTTTCTTTTCTTGCATTTCTTCACTTTTTTTTTTTCTCTCCCATTTCATTTTTTTCTTCTTCCCTGCTTTTATTTTTTTCTTTCTTCTTCCTTTTTTTTCTTTTCTTTTTTCTTTTTTCTTCTTCTCTCCCTTTTCTTTTTTTTTATTTTTCTTGCATTTATCCTTTTCTCTTCTTCTTTCCTTTTCTTTTTTTTCTTCACATTTCTTTCATGTTTTTATTTTTTTTTATTTTTTTTCCTTTTTTTTTTTGCATTTTTTCTTTTTCCTTCATTTCTTCTTTTTAATTTTTTCCTTTGCATTTTTTTCTTTCCTGCATTTCTTCTGTCTTCTTTTTTTTTTTTTCTTTCCACTTTTTTAATTTTTTTTCTTTCCCTATTTTTCTTCCATTTCTTTTTTTTACTTCTTCTTTTTCTTTTATTTTTTCACTCTTTTAATTTTTTCTCTTTTTTGCATTTTTCTTGCATTTCCTGCATTTCCTCTTCTTCTTTTTTTTCCTTTTTTTTGCATTTCTTCACTTTTTTTTTCTTTATTTTTTTTTTTGCATTTTTCTCTTTTTTCTTTATCCTTTTTTCTTTTTCCTCCTCTTTTTCTTGCATTTCTTCATTATTTTTTGCATTTTTTTTCTTTCCCTTCTTTTTTTCTTTTTTTTTTCTTCTTTCTTCTTTTTTTTTTCTTTTTTTGCATTTTTCTTCAGTCTTTTTTTTTTTTAATTTCTCTTTTATTTTTTTCATTTTGCTTTCTTTCTTCTTCTGCTTTTTCTTTTTCTTCTTTTTTTTTTTGCATTTTCTTTTTAAATTTTTTTCTTTCTTTTTTTTTTTTTTTTTTTGCATTTCCTCCCTTTTCTTATTTTTTTTTTTCTTGCATTTTTTCTTTTTAATTTCTTCTCTCCCTTTTGCATTTTCTTCTTTCCTGCATTTTTTCATTTTTTTCCTCCTCTTTTTTTCTTCTTTTTTTTCTTCTTTTTGCATTTTTCTCTTTTCCTGCATTTTTCCTTTCCTCTTTCTTCTTTTTAATTTTTTCTTTTTTTTTTTTCTTCCTCTTTTTTATTTCTTCTCTTTTTATTTTTTTTTTTCTCTTTCCTGCATTTATCCTCTTCTTTTTTTCCTCCTTTTTTTTTGCATTTCTTCCTCTTTTTAATTTCTTCTCTCCCTTTTATTTTTTTCTTTCATTTTTTTTGCCTCCTCTTCTTATTTCCTTTTTTTTTTCTTCCTCTTTTTATTTCTTCTCTCCTTTTCTTTTTCTCTCTTTTTTTAATTTCTTTCTTCTTTTTTTTTTTTTCCTTTTTTCTTTCTTCTTTTTTTAATTTCTTTCCCTTTTGCATTTTTCTTTTCTGCATTTATTTTTTCCTCCTCATTTCTTTTTTTAATTTCTTCTCTCCCTTTTGCATTTTTCTTCTTTCCTGCATTTATCCTCCCTCTTCTTATTTCCTCCTCTTTTTTTGCATTTTTCACTCTTTTAATTTCTTCTTTTCCTTTTTTTTTTCTTTTTTTTTATCCTCCCTCTTTTTTCCTCTTTTTTTGCATTTTTCAGTCTTTTTTAATTTCTTCTCTCCTTTTGCATTTTTCTTTTCCTGCATTTATCCTCCCTCTTCTTATTTCCTCCTTTTTTTTGCATTTCTTCACTCTTTTAATTTCTTCTCTCCTTTTGCATTTTTTCTCTTTTTCTGCATTTATCCTCCCTCTTCTTATTTCCTTTCTTTTTTTTTTCTTCTTCACTCTTTTTAATCTTCTCTCCCTTTTGCATTTTTCTCTTTCCTGCATTTATCCTTCCTCTTCTTATTTCCTTTTTTTTTGCATTTCTTCACTCTTTTAATTTCTTCTCTCCCTTTTTTGCATTTTTCTCTTTCCTGCATTTATCCTCCTCCCTCTTCTTATTTCCTCCTCTTTTTTTTTGCATTTCTTTTCTTTTTATTTTTTTCTCTCCCTTTGCATTTTTTCTCTCTTTCCTGCATTTATCCTCCCTCTTTTTATTTCCTCCTCTTTTTTTCTTTTCATTTCTTCACTTTTTTTAACATCTTCTTTTTTTTTTGCATTTTTCTCTCTTTCCTGCATTTATCCTCCCTCTTCTTATTTCCTCCTCTTTTTTTTTGCATTTCTTCACTCTTTTTAATTTCTTCTCTCCCTTTTGCATTTTTTCTCTCTTTCCTTTTATCCTCCCTCTTCTTATTTCCTCCTCTTTTTTGCATTTCTTCACTCTTTTTAATTTCTTCTCTCCCTTTTGCATTTTTTCTCTTTTCCTGCATTTATCCTCCCTCTTCTTATTTCCTCCTCTTTTTTGCATTTCTTCACTCTTTTTAATTTCTTCTCTCCCTTTTGCATTTTTTCTCTCTTTCCTGCATTTATCCTCCCTCTTCTTATTTCCTCCTCTTTTCTTTGCATTTCTTCACTCTTTTTTTAATTTCTTCTCTCCCCTTTGCATTTTTTCTCTTTCCTGCATTTATCCTCCCTCTTCTTATTTCCTCCTCTTTTTGCATTTCTTTCTTTTAATTTCTTCTCTCCCTTTTGCATTTTTTCTCTTTCCTGCATTTATCCTCCCTCTTCTTATTTCCTCCTCTTTTTTGCATTTCTTCACTCTTTTTTAATTTCTTCTCTCCCTTTTGCATTTTTCTCTCTTTCCTGCATTTATCCTCCTCTTCTTATTTCCTCCTTTTTTTTTATTTCTTCACTCTTTTTTTTTCTTCTCTCCCTTTTGCATTTTTCTCTCTTTCCTGCATTTATCCTCCCCTTTCTTTCTTCCTCCTCTTTTCTTGCATTTCTTCACTTTTTTAATTTCTTCTCTCCCTTTTTTTTTTTCTCTTTCTTTCCTGCATTTATCCTCCCTCTTCTTATTTCCTCCTCTTTTTTTGCATTTCTTCACTCTTTTTTCTTCTCTCCCTTTTGCATTTTTTCTCTTTCCTGCATTTATCCTCCCTCTTCTTTTTCCTCCTCTTTTTTTGCATTTCTTCACTCTTTTTAATTTCTTTCTCCCTTTTGCATTTTTCTCTCTTTCCTGCATTTATCCTCCCTCTTCTTATTTCCTCCTCTTTTTTTGCATTTCTTCACTCTTTTTTAATTTCTTCTCTCCCTTTTTGCATTTTCTCTCTTTCCTGCATTTATCCTCCCTTTCTTATTTCCTCCTCTTTTT